TTCCCAAAGCACCTCCAATCCCAGTCAATCAGCCGCCAAGTTTCTCCAACATAGTCCTGCGAACAACAACCCAACACGACCCTCTAGCAATCCCTAACAAACACAATCATATCATGCAAGACTCACTGAGGACATCTGAAGGCCCCGTCCCTCAGGTGAATAACCGGTATCAATCAGTTGTCCACCATTTCCAAAGCACCTCCAACCCCAGCCAATCAGCCGCCAAGTTTCTCCAACACAGTCCTGCGAACAACAGCCCAACACGACCCTCTAGGAATCCCTAACAGACACAATCATATCACGCAAGACTTACTGAGCACATCTGAAGGCCCCATCCCACGTGGCCGGGCAGGGGCAAAGTCACATACCGATCTCTGATGACCAACGCGCATCCGGGCCACCAAACGACTGCAACAAAGGCCAACCAGAAGCCAACGACCAGTCCCACCCCGACCGAGCCCCCAAACTCCGCCAGATCCCAATGAGGCCTCACCCAACTCAAGCCCGCACCGAAGGACACGTCAGTTTGAAACAGTAAATCTCAGTCACGTTGTACAGTAAAAGATGTCTGTGTGTACAGTACACGGGCATGCGGCGGGTTTCTTTCTTTCAATAACAAAACCCACATGTAAAGACAGCTGCATTCGGCCACCAAATTAAAATGGTTCCCAGCAATATTTATCAAGTTCAACTTTTGTTGACAACAATGCTAACTACAATTATATCAGTTTATAGTAATTCCGATTTAGAAACTATAACCATATAACAAAGAAAATACATAACAAGAACTAGAAATAATATAATTTAGAATACTAATAGATCACCTACGTGTATGTTTGCAATTGCATCGTTGCATGATTCACCATTTCACCTAGCCACTGTAAAAAGCGGATTCTTACAATCACCCAAGTCAAATTATAGATCAGAACGACCAATTAGACCTGACCATGAGCCCATACATCCTCATATCACCAGTCCCTGCATAAGCCAACCCTGGCTTCAAGCAGAACTTCCTCCCAATATTGAGCTTCCAGTAGGCCTCAGCTCGAAATCGGTTTGACCGACTTCCACCATTATCCATATCTCCGCCAATACTGAACCCCCATCCAAGTGCATCCTCCGAATCATCAAGGGCTCTCACACCCCATTGCCGAATGCTCGAACTGTTCGAGTTATTCCTCTGGATCCAACCCTCGATCCTCGTGTTCTCATCGATGTGACTCTCCAGCTTCACAGCAATGCACCTGGCTGGCGTCGGTTCAAACAAGTTTGTCTCCAGTGGTTCAGTCACCGGGTCATGCGGAGCATTTTGCTGTTGATTCAGAATGTGAACAGGGATCCTGAGGGCACCTTGGTTGACCAAGTCGAGAGAAGATTTAGGCTGTTTGTGGACCCCGGAAACCGAGAACTGCACTCCTATTGGTAGTTGGCATGAAATCTGGCCAAATGTGCTGAAGTAAAGGTCTGATGAATATAGGTCTGATTTTCGAAGTCCTGATACAGAATGAGCCAATGAAGCAACAAGATTCGACTTTCTCACTGTGAAACCGATGGCTGAACCATTATATTCATTCACGAGAGGAGGACCCTTCGCTGAAAGCTCAGTAAAGCCCTTTATCTGTAATAAACACAGACCAATTCATTTTCAATGCTGAAGTAAGATGGTGAACAAAGCAAATTGTACTGGAATAGTACAAGGGCTATACTCACCAGATACAGTTTATCAATTACAACTTTTTAGACATCATGATCATACGATCTTATCCATATTCATTATCGATCAGGCCTAACACTATCAAACGTTTTAGATAACATGATCATTAGTACAATAGTTATACTCACTAGCAATAAGAGCATATAAAGTTTGACAATTACATGATCATTAGTACATTAGTACAATAGTTATACTCACTACCAATACGATCTTATCCATATTCATTATCGATCAGGCCTAACACTATCAAACATTTTAGATAACATGACCATATGATTTACCAAGTTTGTTGATTCCACTAGTAAAATGCGTAAGATTCATGAGAAATAGCTTTAGTACCATAGGATAGATCAAATTTGGTTCAGTAAACTCGTAAAGGGTAAGCCTTTTTGAAATTTGACTCAAGATTCTGACTATGCTGGTGCTCCTGAATACCGCATTTCGTCTATAGCTAAGGCAATCGATTCAAGCTTTTTCATAATCCAAATTGAAGTTCATAAAAAAACTGCAGCAGCTCAATAGTGCGGAAGGTGTAGTATATGTGAAGATCGATCATACCTGATTTGAGGAATCCATAGTGAAACCCAGATGCCTGAACTGAGCACCAACCGGCATTAAAGTAGCTGATACCCAGTCACGAATGTTCGCCATGAACAATACTTTTGACAGACTAAGCGTCGCGCTCCCCAAGCTATCGCCAATATTGCAACCTCCCGTGGCGAACTCTGCTACGAGTGTATCATTCTCGCGTATGGGAGTCTCAAAGGATATCTTCGACCTGATACCACCATTTGTAGCAAGACCAAGTGAATCGTGGTGATCAAACTGATTGATGTCTCCGCCCATCAGCACCATAGCACCTAGGGTATTGATCTCTCCCCTTACATGAGTACCACCTGAGTTCTGAGACGGACTTCCCTTGGCAATTTTCGGGAAAGAGACTTGTCGCTCGAGCTTGTCCTGCCTGTCTCTAAGCTTCATTAGGTCAGAGAATGATTCCCGCTGCAATCGCTTGAGGATCTCAACCTACATTAGATTCACATTCCACAAAGGTCAAATCAAGCTCATGACAACAAACTTCAATCGAAAGGAATCCCGTTTCAATTACACGGAGTGGAGAAGGTTGCTTAGCTATAAACAAATTTGAAAATTCAACCAATTTCGAAAATTTCCAACAGAGTCCCATTTCTGAGAGCAGCGAGACACAGGATAAATTGGACTTCACTGTCTAGATTCAGTAAGAAAATCAGCGGGGAGTTCATGGAAATTCCAGAGTTCTTCAACGCAACTAAGAAGAAAGCCGCGAATTGGAGAAATGACCGATGGGGGAATTTACAGGCTTGCGGCGGGAAGACTTGGCGCGATCGTGGAAGAGGCCATCAAAGAAGTCTTGACTTGACTTGGCTAAGTCTTTGATTTTTCCAACGACGGTATCCATTTCTTCCTCCGCAGAAACCCTAGTAAGAGAGCCGGCGGCAGCTGGAGGAAGGAACTGGAAGAAGTGCAACCACGGCGGAAAGAGTGGAGCTTTGTTTTGGCCTTTTGCGGGGGGTGGGGGTTTTGATTTTTGAATCGCGGCGGAATCGGCAATGACCCAAGTGGACTCAACTCGCTCCGAGTTTACACGTAGTCATCAGTGGGGCAGAGGCAAAGAAAAGGGACCCACGGGGTGGCTTTTTTCGGGGATTATTATTTGTCTCTCTAAAATTTAAAAATTTTATGCCCTAAATTAAAAAATAGACGCATTTATCCCTAGTCCTAATTTCTACCATAAACCACAAAAGAATAATCTCGTCGGATCAAACCAAAAAAAATCTCGTCGACGCGGCGAAGCAAATTAGAGACGAGAGAAGAGAAATTCTCCACCTTTCGCTTAGCATTCGTTTGTCTGCCCCATTCGCTCTGCGAATCTCCTAAGGAAGCTTTCTGAAATCAATTCGCCCACTCCAATAACAACAAAATTTTCCTAAGTACATGTTAGCACTTAGCACATTACGAAAACAATGGATGGCTGACAGTAATGGTGTTTCCAGGACATCCCTACCCTACTCCCTGTTTTTTCCCCATCTCAATGACCAAATCTAATGTCAGACGTTCTGTTAACATCCATGCCCCCACAGCCAAACAAAAAGACAAGAGATTTCATTGCTATACTACTAATCCTTCCACACAGAAACAGGAAATGCAACCACTAGCCTCTCCCCGTCCCAATCTTGTCGGAGAGAAGATAGGCGGCTGCCTTCTTCTTCGTCTTCTTCATCCTCCAGCTTGGGATTGACTCCGGTAGAAAAAGCAGAGCACCAGCGGCGGTCTGGTTAACGTGGACAGTTGCCGGAGAGAAAGAATTCACAGCGACAGCAGCGTCGGGTTGACGTTGACGTTGGCTGGGCAGGGTAAGGGATTGCTTGTTTAGTGTTTTGGTTAGAAATTGGGGCCAAAGGATAAGATTGTCAATTTGGTATATTTTAGGGCGACAAAATTTAAATTTTTTGACGGCGAATAGCGATTCAAATTATTTTAGAAGACCGTGCACAAATAAGTCCTTCATCCTAAACTTTCTTACTGTTTCGGTGCTTGAACTAACTTATTTTAACAATTCAGTATTTACATTACCCTCGTCAGTCTAGGGGTGGGATTCGGTTGGTAAACAATTTACCGTTTACCGAATTAACCGGTTTCGGTATACCGAAGTTGGCCAAACTGGTTACCGATTACCGATACCGGTTTGTAACCGATTTACCGATTACCGGTAAACGGTTACAAACCGGTATTACCAAAATACCGTGAGAAGCGATTTCGGGCGGTTTTTCGTTCGGTTTACCGAATATTTACCGAACCAAATTTCTGAAAGTGGGGTGATGTTGTAATATTTTGATTTTTTTGAGTTTTTTCATCATTTTTGTAATTAATAATTTATTATTAACTCTTATTTACAATATTTTTGAGGCCTGTACTTACATTCATGTATGTAATATTTTATATTTTCGGGGGTAAAGCAACAAAACGCAGCGTAGCACTAGGGAGTAGGGAGGGGGGATTCGGTATCGATAATACCCATTTACCGTCGGTATTTACCGATACCGTGTCCGGTAAACCAACTCCCCCAACTTCCCGCTCGGCTGCCGATACCGCCGGTAAACGGTTTACCGTTTACCGCCGGTTACCGATTCGGTAAAACGATAAACCGTTTACCGAATTACCGTTTACCACCCCTGCATCAGTCATCACCAATCAGGAATGGAAGTAAAATGAAAAGGAAAACGAAAACGAAAACGAAAACGAAAACTTAGAGATGACAATTTCATTGAATGTTTGCAACCACATTGAAGACACTTTCTCTAAATTAAAAAAGACTGATAAAAATACTACTTAGCCAATATATATAGTTACTGTTACTGTCTATTTTTACCCGAGTACCCAACCAACAAACGTAAAGGGGAAAAAAAGAAAATCAAATAATGTGCCATACTGCCATGATACCTTTGACCTAGCTATGATCTCTGGACTTCTTTCTTTGAACCAAATTAAACATGATTATTAATTTTAGTGCCATATGTTAATCATCAATGCTCTAGCGATCATCAACGATCTCACCAAATGATAAAACAAATGAGTGATAATCTCAACATTAAAATAATTTATAGCCATTCTTCTGTTGAATTTGAGCGATAACAGCTTTGTAAGCAGCTTCGGTCGGATGAACAGAATCCCAAAACACGAATTTGGACCGATCAGGGCATGTCACTTGGGTAGCGATATTGCACAACGGTCCCAACAGTGCACAACATCCCATCATCGAGTTCTGAAAACCTGAAAGCAGCAACAAAGCAAAAATAATATGTGTGTGAATAAACATCTCTAAAAATATTACTACGCAATTCGAATTTAAAAAAATGTCATGTTCAATGACATTTGTATCTATGCATTATGATTAGAAAACAATCGACACAAATAATACGATACATTAGATAAACATCCACGGTATCAAAATTTGTAATCAAGAATTAAGAAAAATGTGCAATATAAATTAAAATGACGGATACTATTAGGTGGCTTAATTACCATAAGATAGGGGGTTCTGTGAGATGCGCAGCAACGGAGTGTAGACATCGAGGTAAACGATGTCGGCGCCGGATAATTTAGAATTGAGAGCTTGCATTGTGCCGGCGAGCTTAGTGTTATAAACGCTGGCGCCGTCGAATGGATTGGGCCCCGCACACCCCAACCCGCCGGTGGCCGCTCTTCCCGCCGGCGTGCATCCCCCTGGAATTGCACTCATGAACGCCACTTTCCTCACTCCCAAGTTATACAATTGCTGTTCCATATATCAGTTCACGTCAGCAAATAAAGTTGAGAAAAATATCATCACTAATCCATCTATTTCTTAATACGACGACTACGAATAGTATTATGTTATACTATATGGGTGTCGAGTTGTTCGAGCTTACAGTGACGAAATCTGTGGCGAATGTCATGAGAAGGTCGGCGTATCCATCGACGCCGATCACGGCTCTACCGGAGGCGAGCCGGCCGATGCCCATGTCATTGTTTCCGGCGGAAATAAGGGCCAATGAGTTGGCTAAGATGGAGTTCGCCTTCTCCTCTCCAACCAGGCCTTTCAGCTTGCCAATGTAGTCTTGGAAGTATCTCAATTGTTCCCTCATTGGTATCGATTGTGTTGCGCTAGATGTAGCTGTGTCGAGGCCGGACCCGCCGGAGGCAAAGCACACTCCCGTCGGAAGCTCGCCGGTGGGTAGGGCTGGGTCCAAATATGGCGGTAAAAATGTTTTCACTCCCACAGCCTCCGCTGCATACATATTTACGCTTCAAGGTTTAGCAAGTGACATGTTCCGATCGGGTTCGGTGCGAGAAAAACATAAAATACTTAATACAAACTATAATCTTCATTAATATTTTTTTTTAAAATACTATATTACAAATAAAATAGAAATCATCATGTTTTTTGCCGATTTTAACTACCACTTCATATCGATAATCTTTCAACCTGTTTTTGTTAATATCGGATGAACCTTGTTATACCACATATTACAAACAAATAGAAATCATCAATTTTTTTTTTTACCAATTTTAACTACCGCTTCATACCCTTAATCTTTCAACGTGTTTTTGTTAATACTGGTTGAACCTTGCTACACCGGCAGACGAGTAGTTTGACAACCATGATATACTGATCGCGTACAAAGTTTCGAAAAACACACATGGAGAGAGAAGAGGTAAGGCGTTACTATACATACCCAAGACTTCGGAGAAAACTCTGCCGTTTCCCCATCTCCCCGTAGCCCTACCGCCGGGGAAATCCTTCCCGTACGGTGGATAATTGCACTTCGATCCGGACAAAAGGTTGTTGTTATTGCCGGTGTCTAGGATGGAGTCACCAAACGCAAATAGAGCCACGACCGACCCATTACCGGTTTGCTGGGCAAAGCACGGCGAGGAGGTTATTAAGAACAATACGAGGTTTGTAAGAACTAGGAACATGGTGGAACAATTCGTCCGAGGCATTCTCTTGGAGCAAGAAGATCTTTATTCTGTTTTTAATTAAGGATGGATTTCGAGGGCATACAAAATTTTGGTTTGGAAGATGCATGTATATAGCTAGTGTGGTGATGATGGTGAGTATGGATAACGTTGTGGGTGATTATGTGGTTTACTTGTATGACACAAGCAAATTAAGAAATGTGGATTTGGAGAGAGATATTGTTCATGGACTACATTTGAAAAGTAATCATGTGGGAAGAAGAATCTCAAACGGTAGTTTGGGAGTGCTTATCAAATTACATGAATGATGCAAATGTATGTAACTAGTATGGCAATAGGGTGAATTTGGATTTAGTTTTACTTGTGTGTCGAAGAGTGTATTTAGAGAGAGAGATTGTTTATAAACCAAAATTTGGGAAGAAGAATCTTGAATGGCGAAAGAAGGATTATATGGTTTGGTCCATATCAAATTTAACCGGAAACAACTCCAAAAGGAAAAAGATCATGTATAGAGTTATCCATTAAGGAAAAGAAGGATCTATAAGAAGTAAGGAGTATCTAATAGGTAGCTCGCATTCACATGCACTGGTATTTTGTCTACCCTTAGCCGAGTTGTCTATACATTTAAGATTTTGGATAAAATTTGAATGTTTAATTTGTTTTTATAATTATTTATTTTACGGATAATCAAATATTGTATAGTACATGCATTGCAATCGCTATCGAGATTTCTTAATTTTTTCTATTTTTGCGGATTTTGAATTAGGGTTTCATGAGTGGGTAGATAGACTCTACTCATTTCCGAGGGGATTTAGGGTGACCAAATTTGCCACATTTATAAGGACAAGGGCCACTACTGTGGAGCATATTGGACGTTTCACTACCTAGCATGGAGATGTAGGAGATTTTGTTAAGTTAAGAGTATTTGGAAACTCATTGACATGACCTGGTTTTGCTAGGTACGTCAACTTACCATCTAACTCCATCCAGATATGGCAAAAGATGGAGCAAATCTTCCATTCTCAAGTCTATAGATCTGAGTGTGAGGTCTCCATATCCGACTTAGTAAGGATGCACCTAGAGCAGGAGAGTCTGTGGAGCACTTCTTGACAAATTTCAAGAATGCTCATAACTGTTGCTTTGTCAACCTGACAGAAAGGGAAAAAATCCAAAAGTACCATGGTTTAAAAAAAAAATTCCAAAAATACCACCCAATCCCAAAAAATTCCAAAAATACCACCATTTTTCAAAAACCGCCACCCCACCCTGCGGTTTACACGAAAACCGTTTGTCGGGGCGCAGTTTTCTATGCAAACCGCGGGCCTAGGGGGCGGTTATTAAAAAAAAAAATTGGACCAAACCGCTGGGTGGGGTGGCGGTTTGACCCAAAACCGCCACCCACCCAGCGGTTTGGTCCAATTTTTTTTTTTTTCGATCAACTCCCAACTTCGGCCGAAACTTCAAACGAACGTGACTTTGCACTCGGGTATCCGATCGATGCGATTTTTTTTTTTCATTTCGCATAACTTTTCAAGATCTACAACTTTTAGTAGGATGAAATTTTCAAAACAGGAACTATTTGTGGATATAAGGGACCTTGAGAATAACTTTACCTTTACTTTTCACAAATCCATGTACATTCTGAAATTATGATTATATTAAAAGTTGTAGATCTTGAAAAGTTATGCGGAATAAAAAAAAATTCATAACATTCGGATTTTGAAGTACAAAGTTATGACCGTCCAAAATTTGACGAAATGCGAGACCCGGCGGTATGCGGCTTGCAAGATCTCAAAAAGTTTGCGGCCTCCATTTTTTGAATCCGAATAACTTTTTGAGATCTTGCAAGCCACAAACCGCCGGGTCCCGCCTTTGTCTCGAAAAAACGTCATTTGCCACCCCGAACGAGCCTTTTTTTTATTTCGTCAAACTTTGGGCGGCCATAACTTTGTGCTCCAAAATCCGAATGTCATGAATTTTTTTTTATTCCACATAACTTTTCAAGATCTACAAATTTTAATATAATCATAATTTCAAAATGTACATGAATTTGTGAAAAGTAAAGGTAAAGTTATTCCCAAGGTCCCGTATATCCACAAATAGTTCCTGTTTTGAAAATTTCATCCTACTAAAAGTTGTAGATCTTGAAAAGTTATGCGAAATGAAAAAATAAATCGCATCGATGGGAGCCCGAGTGCAAAGTTACGTTCGTTTGAAGTTTCGGCCGAAGTTAGGAGTTGATTGAAAAAAAAAAAATTTGGACCAAACCGCTGGGTGGGGTGGCGGTTTTGGGTCAAACCGCCACCACACCCAGCGGTTTGGTCCAATTTTTTTTTTTTATAACCGCCCCCTAGGCCCGCGGTTTGCATAGAAAACCGCGCCCCCGACAAACTGTTTTCGTGTAAACCGCAGGGTGGGGTGGCGGTTTTTGAAAAAGGATGGTATTTTTGGAATTTTTTGGGATTGAGTGGTATTTTTGGAATTTTTTTTTAAAACAATGGTACTTTTGGATTTTTTCTGACAGAAAGAGAGTTTGTCAAGTTAGCACAAGGGGGTTGAGTTTTGAGTTAAGGAAAAAATTCCAAGTTAAAGAGTTCTCCGACTTGTTCCAGCTCATGTCTTGTGCGGTGAGATATGAATCTCTTCTTTAAGAAGAGGAAAATATCACTACAACAAATTCGGCCTATTATGACGAGGCCATTAGGTATAATATGACAAAAGCTGTTGTCACAACGGTTTGTCATTTTATCGCCGTCAAGATATGTCAAATGTGACAAAAATTTAAAACAAAGTTGTCACATTTACTTTCAATATAGCTGAGGTTCTTGGTAGACTATTGTGACAAACAAAGATGTTATGACGATTTATTTTGTCATTAATTTTGTCATAATTGGCTTATTTTGACAGAATCGTTCGTCATATTACACCATTATATTTTGACATCACATAATTGTAACGAACAAATTTTTTCATAAATGCATGGTGTGACGAATATATTTTGTCATAACTGTACAGTATGACAAATATATTTTGTCATAACTGTATATTAGGACAAACCTATTTTTGTCATAATTGCATATTGTGATCAATATGGTTTATTCATCAATATATTGAATAACATATAGTTGGAAAAAATAATATTCTTGTAGCATGTAACTCCGGTCAAACAAATACTAGTTACAGATCTAACTGTTTTTGGTGTCCTAAACAAACTAATCTAGGAATTCGGAATCCCTCGTCGACGTTGGCATACTGTTTTTACTGCTGCTGTTGCCGCCACCACTTATATGTTCATACAATCTGTAGATAAAACCTACATCAAATTGAAAGAATTATTAACCCCAAAACCTATAGGTTTACTTCATCAGCTCAACTCTCAAGCATATAAAGTGGAATGAGCAGCAGTAGGGACCTCCCCTACCGTCAGAGAACACAAAGCACATGCATATACAACATTTGGCTCTTAAAATAAGAATTAATGTAATGCCAAGAAGTAAAACATCTATAAAACTCTAGAGAAATCCAAAAAGTTAATGCAATCAAGTTTCATAACGTGTTTTGTTTCTGAGTAATCAATTTGCAGTAAAGAAAATACAAGTTCTCTTCCATATTTTGTTTCCAAGGGAACGGGTCAACCAAGTTCTGAAGCTTTTCCGCTATATTTTTCAAACATATATAACTAAGCAAATTAGGGCTCCTTTATGTAAATACAACAACCTATAGAGTATCATACTGAGGGCAAAGTTTGACGACCTTAAATGTGAAAGTAGGGATGGCAATGGGTCGGGTCGGGGGCGGATAGTGCATATCCGTTACCCTACCCAATGTAGTTCGGGTTTTATCCATACCCGTACCCATACGAAAAACGGGTAGGAAATCAAAACCATGCCCATACCCGTTCGGGTTTCGGGTATCCACGGTTATCCATGGGTAATAATTTCTCCTTATAATTCCAACCAATATGTTAACATTCACACGTATACTCACATTACGTAAGAGGAAAAGTACGACAATAATTCACTAGAATGACGAAAATTAATTAAAACAACATAATTTCATGAAAATATTATATTTGTATGCTAAATATAAAATATTCTAAAGAAACATAATGATTATTTCTAGACAAAATAAATATGCATGTGTATAATCGGGCGGGTTCGGGTTGGATAGTGAGATAACCATGCCCACCCATTACCCGCAATATTCGGGTTCGGGTTTTACCCGTACCCACGAAAAATGCTTCGGGTTCGGGTTTTACCCTACCCGATTAGGTCGGATTCGGGTGGATATCCACGGTTACGGATATTTTTGCCATTCCTATGTGAAAGAATGTGGTATTACCTGTTGTCCTGCTCCAAGTAGTCACCAGTTGGGTTACCTCATTGATTTCTCCCACTTCCATTGTCTTAATCTTCAAAACATTTCAGTATTATTTTCCTGCTTAGTGGGCAGGATTCACCTAGGCTATCTTCACATGGAACGATAAAACCACAGATAAAATCAAACAATCAATCTAGATCAGAACAAAATACCCCTATCTAAAGCGGGACCATGAGATGCAAATCACACATGCCAGAGCTGTCTAAAAAAAAGAACACAATCCCCCCTTAAAACAGTGAATCCAACCAATCACTACCTTTGTGTTCTTCAATGAAACAATCAATCTCTTTCCTAACAATCAAATTCATCTCAACATGATGTCTAACTCATTCAGGACCCGCAATTTCCTTCACGATAGTTCTATTCTGATCATTCAATAGGCCAATTTGAACATCAAATTCAAAGAGATTACCTTCCTCTGATAGGGTATCTGAGGTGACTTTCGTCGCCTCCAACTCGTGCCGTCGATCTCCGCCTCTATAGTTCGGTCGATTCATCGTGAGAAAAGGAGAAGAAAGAAAGGCAACAAGGCCGAGACAGGGGAAAGAAGATGTAGGTATCACTGGCACTGCGTCGGCTTTGAGAGGTAAGTAGTGTTTTAATCATTTAATTTATAAAATTACAGGATTAGCCTCAAAACCCTAGGTATTTACAAAATAACCGTGGTAAAATTGATGATTTGGTTCCTCACGTTACT